TGAGGGTCAGTTGAGGGATGTCTCTTTCTTTTCCGGGTCACGTGGTGTCCAGTCTCTTCGTGGGGGGTTTTCTCCTTTTCGCCAGTCTGCGATGGGGGGGGGGGGGGGGGTTTCTTCTTCATCGTCGTCCTTTTCCACGGTTGATGTGAGTACCGGGGCGAGGGGAAATGGGGTAGGGGGAAGGAGTATCTCGGGAATGGGTTATCCAACGGTGGTAAAAAAGAGTAACTTAAACCTAACTTAGCCTAGGAAAAATAATAAGTATTAATTTGGTGGCAGGGGGGGGGGGGTGCAAAATTCTGCCTCGTCACAATTCTCAATAATTGAGTGTGTGTGCGGCAAACGACATTTCATCTCAGTAGTCGCAGTTATGTAAAACTACAAACAGTTGAGACGAAATTGCTGTGCGCTACCTGCTGAAAAAGTTTGAACAAGACTATTACATTCAGCGCCCAGGCAAATGTCATTTAGGGGAAGAAAGTTAATAGGGGTTGTAAAAATTGTTTCCAATTAATCCTTGACTACCTCCGGCCAATTTATGGAGCATGAATTCCCGAGACTGGATAGAGGCATTGAAAGAGTTGACAAAATGAAATGTGTATCTCAAGAAGAGGAAGTATGCCTGCACACATTGATCATCTAGCAATTTCCCAGCTTCAGCGTTGATTGTGAGTGCTTTCCCAGCTGGCTGATGAAAAAAACTGTTTCAAAAGTTTCCAATTTAAAGGAAGACGAGTAACACATTACATTAGTAGACGTATCCACTGCGTGTTCGAAAGAATCACAATTTTCAAGTTTTGCTCCTTAGAAAATTCTTGATAATCTTTTAAACTTGGGCAACGCTTTGGACTGATTGAGAAATACATCGAATTAGGTCCTCTGAGTCGTTCGGCGAAGTACTGAATTTTGAAGCTATAATCGAGGAAGAGTGAGAAATGCAATGCATTTGAATAAAATTTGGGACTCCTGGTTTTAATCTTTGCGTGAACGAAGTTTTTACACTCACTATAACGCTTGCATTATCACACGCTAAACCTATTATATCCTGAATCGAAATTCGTTTTTGTTGTGAACATTTTTTAAAACAATTATAAACTCTTCTCGCTGTGCAATCTGTTGCATCAAGTTCGAAAAGATCTAAAAATTCTGTATCTCGTGAAAACACATAGAATTTCCTTTTTTGAAATACGAGAGACCGTACTGCGCGTCAGCGCGCGGAAATGAAAAGATTTCTGTAAGACATTTCATGATTTCCAGATTTTTGAGATATCAGTTGTGTCAAACGTGTCCCTTTAAGAACAGAATCTGTGGTTTCATCAGCTAAAATAAAAAGTTTACTCTGCCGTAAAATTTTGACTAAATTTTAAAATTTTTTAGAAATAAAAAAAAAAACTAAATTTCGTTCACGACTTTGACCAAATATTTTCGATTATGCTAGTACATTTTGTTCGCTCCAGAGAACAATCTTCCTATCAGGAAATGCTCTTAATGCATGCTCCTGTAAATGCATTTCAGTTGTAAATGAAGCCCCCTATTAATTCTTACTTTTCCAATCGGCCCCTTCACTTTCCCCCTTTTTTTCCAGAGTTAGAGTCACCCCTTCTTTCTATTATATTATTTCGCGTAGCCGCAAGTGAGTTGGCCTTACCCCCCCGCCCTCGAGTTAATTAGTCAATAGTCACAAGGTTTTGGTTAAATTTTATTGTATTAAGTTGTTTTTGTGAAGAATTGGAATACAGAATGTCATTTCACCAAAATCCCGTGAATAATCATTTTCAACCACCCCTCTCCATTAGTATTTCAGACCCTCCCTCTGATTATTGAATAGTCCCCGTACAAATCATTATTTTCCAGAGAATTCCTGAATATCGTGTCTCGACCAGAAATTAATATATTTTAATCCACCGGCCAAGGTGACAATTTTTAATGTCAAGTGTGTCATATTTGCTGCACTAAGATTGAACTCTTTTTGCATAACTTTCCATGTACAACACTGAACATTGAAATTGACAGAAAGTGTTGAAAACCAAAATGGAGAGAAATTATTTTAATAAGCGGCTGATTTATTTTCTTATATTAAAAGAGCAAGGAGTTTTTCGTTTGTTTCGACTTCAATTAATTTATCCCGCTCAATGATCGATTTGCACTGAAAACTTCAATGAACGCAAACAAATCAGAAAATTATGTGTTAACAATTGTCAATTTTTACCTTTAATAATGACGATAAAATCTATGAACCTTTATTATCCAATAATCGGAAAGATGTCTCAATTTTCAATGTCTCAATGGAATGGATAAAATTTATGAATGAAGACAATAGATAAATCGATAAAACTTCTTGATGAGGATAATTTATCGAATAGTGAGCAATTCATAAATACATAGGGATTAATTATTCGAGGCATAGACAATTAATATACAGACTAGCAAATAATGCGGTTTTTGAACTCGAAGCAATAAAAAATATTTATTTTTTTTTTACAATTATTCAATTAAACATATCCATGGGAATTATAACTATGCCCGTCGCGCCATCACAGTAGCGAGGGGCAGGGCTGTGCGTGAGGATAGTTCGCATGGAAATCTCAGGCCCGTTAGTCAACGCACGAATATTTGAATTTTTAAAAGAAAAATATGGATGTTTTTCTTGCTGTATTTTACACTGTTAAAAAATATCCATTGTTCATTTTTTTATGCCATCAGTGCCCGTAATCGCGCGATTCTAACCTCGCTTCGCTCGATTAAATCGCGGATTCCGGGCGCGATGACATAAAATTTTGTATGAAACGCGTGCGTAATATATTTTTCGACTCGTGGGGTTGTAAAACTCGCCTTCGGCTGGCGTTACAAATCCCCCACGAGTCAAAAAATATATTACGCACGTGTTGCATAATACACTATTCTATATCAACTTCTACATAAAATTTCGTTCCATAAATCACTCCAATTTGAATATTTCGGCCGCAAATGAATTGAAAAACACTGGTGAAAAGATTTTGTAATTTTTAAAAAATTTTTAATTTTTAATTTTTTTGATTGTTTGAACAATCTCTAAGTAGCAATTAAAAAAATTGATTGGTATTCCAAATAATGGGTTTAATACGGTTTTATGGCCCGGGCTCCCGAGGTTACGACTTTCTATGTTTTCTTTGGAGTGACTATACATTTTTTGCTCGAAAACTCATTTTTATAATGAAATAAACACACACGGGAAGATTTTAATAAGAAAAATTACTATGTGAAAATCATAACCGCGGACGAAATCGCGAATTCCGGGAAATATACGTTGATTTTTTTTGGAAGTTGGGACTTTGATTTTAAAAAAATACATTTCTCTATCCAAAAATCACGAATTGGAATCGTAAAAAAAAGAGAAAGAAAATTTCGATGTATATATTTTCTAAAAATTTTTTTAGGATCTGAATAATTTGTCAATGGAATAGGAGAGAATACAATTACTTTCTTAAATTTTACGTTTCAAATTTGTTTTCTTTTTTCCGATAGCGGAAATAAATTGAATACTATGTTCATTTCATTAAGTTGCAGTAATAAAGTAAAATAAATCCATGTTTTTATCGGTTATTCAGGAAAAGAATAACTTAAATTTTCAATTAACCGGAATTGATAATTTATTGACAATTTTTGTTTTTTACGGAAAACGAGAGAAAAAATATTTACAGCCAAGATATTAACTGCTGCAGCGCCCTTGGATTTTTACATGCGAAATTTTCATTTTTACGATGTGAACTCACAAAATATCAAAGCAGCGAGTGATGTTTACAAGTCGGGTATAAGGAAATAAACAGAAGACTCCATGTTCGCGTTTTTTGTTTCATTGTTTCCCTTCATTATGGACTCATTATTTTCACGATGTGAAATTGGTCTTTATCGCGGCGAATGCTGGCATATGTTTCTGATATTTTTAGGTTTTTTTGGAACGGAATTTGCATTTTTAATATTCTAGGATGGCACAATTCTCCGGAATTGACTTCATTTTTCCTCCAACACAATTGGAAATTTTCTTCATCAATGTAATAAAAAAAAAGGAATTGATTTGGAGCTATTCTTTTTATTTTCAAATTACGATTGACAATAGTAAAATGGCCAAATCCTTCATTATAGTCCACCGTTCTAATTCTACCCATGCAATTTTACGATTCAAAAATCGTAAAAATAACTAAACAAATCGTTCCGTGCAGTGGGTAAGTTCGTTGTTTTGCGTTAAATTCTAAGTTCAAATCTCGACTAAGTGGAGTGATGAGAACTATCTATCATAAGAGTGCATACATTCTTATTCAGCAAAGCCAGAGAAAAGCTCAGAGAAGCCATCGATTAGTTCCATCCCAATGTGAGGGTATTTAAAGCAATAGACCAGAATTTATAATGAGACTAAGAGTGGTTTTCGACGCCTAAATTATGCACAGTTTCTATTCATAGCTCTTTATATTAAATATTTAATAAATTTGATTGGCATTGTAGAGCGTACCATTATTTTCCGTTCGGAACTATATGAAGATTGCAATTCGGAACTAGAAGGAGGCATTGTGATGCTTATACTTAATGATAGTTATTTAGTATACGAAATTGAAAAACTCAACCAATATTCACCTATCCAATACCGCATTCTAATTCTTGATGATTATTCCGCGCAAAATATCAGTACATGAGTCAGTTGCTTGAAGTCACGCACGTCTTGCATAGTTCTTCATGATTTACCGTTTATTGTCATGATTTTACCTTTCATTGGATTTTTTTTTCAGGATTTGAAACCAGCGAATTTATTAATCGATCCTAGTGGAGTTCTTAAAATCGCAGATTTTGGTTTGGCCAGATTGACATGGGAAGAATACACAAGACCTTATTCGCAACAAGTAGCAACGAGATGGTATCGAGCACCAGAATTATTGTACGGCTCGAAATTGTATTCATCGTCAATTGATATGTGGTCTGTCGGCTGTATCATTGCTGAAATCATCAATAATTCTCCATTGTTTCCGGTAAGAATTTATTGGGCGGTCTAGCACTCGAATATTCTATCCATCAATGAGAATAGGAATTAATAATTCAATCCATATCAATTATAATCAATCAATCCATATCAGTCATTCTCAAAAACCAACTGTGGACGAGGAAATCATTATATTCCCACATTATATATCTGAATGAGTCTAAATCATTGTCTAAATTAGCTATGTATTAAACATATTTTTAATAATTCGCAAAAATATTTAATTATTTATCAATTCTTCATATACCTTCAAACAAAAATATTATCTGGAGATTGCTATAATGCAAATAATCATGAAGATATCTGTATTTCGGAATACTTCATAAAGATCACCGGCGAATCCTTCTCACGCCGCAGGGCGCTAAACATCTCAAGGAACATGCGACATTCGCATCAGGAGACCATTCTCACCCACCTAATGTCCACCCCAACTCGAGGATGCTTAGTAAAAGCAATCTCATCGCGAGCCAAAACCAGAGCTATTTCATACAGAGGCACGTGCGATTGGGCCTACGATAATCGAATCGATTCCCAACCCTTAATCCATCCCAACACCATGGGTTTCTGGGGATGGGTCTCTGTGGCCGAAAATGTTCGCTCCGCAGGCACAAAGCGATCCCTTTCACTAGTCGGGGACGCGTAAACGTACCCCTCTCTCGCTATTCCGATTCAAGATCGGAACCACGTGCCCATCATAACCCGAAGAGGGATTATTGCCACCAACTGGATCTCTCGACGTCTGTGGGTCATCCGTTACCCCACAGCTACCAATCAGCTCGACGGGATCATGGGGGCGCTTGTCCTTTCTCCTAGCCGTAAGGTATGATACAAACAAGTATTGCCAAGCCAAAAACAGGGGACAAGTTCTCTCAGGCGGCACGAGACAGCGCGGCGGTCACTATCACCTTCCCCTCATCTCCATGTCATCCCCACTCTGCAGCTGTTTGGCACTGGTGGGATTATTAAAAAAAAGATAATTTAAAATAGCAGGAAAAAATGTAAAATGTATTTTTAAAAATTTCAACTTCGCGGGTAAAAAAAATTGTAATCAGAATATTTGTTTCAAATTTTCGGAAAATTTCTGGAAACCTTTTCAGAAAATTGTTCTTTTGAAACAAAAAAAAATCGGGAAACAAAACAACTGTATTTTTGGGAAATATTTTGAAAAATTTTTCAAAAATTTGTTTCGGAAATTTGTTAAAGGAATTTTATAGAAATTTTTGCGAATATTTTTTCCTTTTAATTATACTGTAGTTTTCTTACTTTTTCCATTTTTCAACAGTCTCAAAAAATACGCCATCTAAATTATAAAAAAAATTTTTCCCATTCAAATTAAAAAAAAATTTTACAACAACCGATCTATCTCCATTGAATGCACCCCACTGCACCCCAATATTCACAGTTCAAAAATTTTTTGAAAATTATTTCAGAAAAATCCATTTTCTTTTCAGCGAAAAATGAAATTCTCGTTTTTCTTACGGACAGAGAGGTGAGAATTTTTACTATTGGGAAATTGCACCTTTTTTTTTAGGTCAATTTGAAAGAAAAAAAAAATCAAACGACTCGACTGGGACTCAAATGTAAACGCCAGAAATCGCTGAATGGTGGGGACGAAAGGCGCATGAGAAGAAGGCGTTATACAGCGCTACGTACGGCGTCTGAAGGTACTTGTCCCCTGTTTTGGTGTCGGCGACATCAAAGCTTGGCAATACCTCCCTGTATCATACCTTACCTAGCCGTTGGTGCCTGGTCTAAATCGACGGCGTCCTTTGGAACTATCTAGTTGGAACGGCTGTACGTCGGCCCTAGACTCCCTAACACAGCTGGGTGGGTTTCCAAAATAGGTGACAGACGTCATTAGCGTCATCATAGTATTGCGAAAGACGGTCTCACCCTACCACGTTTCTTCTCACTAGATGATTGGTCTCATTCATCTTTGGAGCGTCCTCATTGGCCGTCGTCCGATGTCTTATTCATCTTTCGCTCGGCTCGTTCAGCCGGCGTCAGATGTCTCTTCCTACCACTAGTGACTTACCGACTTTCTCTAGTGTCGTCACTAGTAACGACAAAATCTCGTTACAAGACTTCGTCCGATCGCGAAGGTATCAGCCAAATATGAATTGCAAGACAATGACTTAAGAATGTTCAGCCGATACCGACAATATTCAATAGAGTTTACATTTTTTTAAATATAAAATAGCTGAGAGTATGAACCATACGCAGGGCACATTTGAGTGAGATAATAATTAGGTAAAACACCTGTCTGTAACACAGAGTCTGACGGAAGAAACTGCCCGCGTTAGCTCTGCTTGAAAAAAGCACTACGACACGCACTCATCATCTTAAATTAAAAAATGCATTTATTTATTTGACTATATGGGGAATATTTTACTGGCGAGAAAAATTAAGGTATGCGATACAATAGGCGAGGAACTTACGATTGATTTTTGAAAACATCTGAAAAAAGTGGCCGCCATGACTATCGTAAAATACAGATAACGTCGCTTTTAAAGCTGAGCAATGTCAGCAAGGTAGATGACGATGAAACAGTGATGGCGGAGCATCTAGCTACATGCGGTGCTGCGCGATCAAACCTTGAGCATTATCATAGTCGTCAGTCATACGTGAATGTTTATAAATATTTGCCATATTTCGTAATGATTTGAATCGAAAAGTATGTCATGAGGCCTGTAAATTAATAGAAAAAATTATTGATTTGAATATTTTATTTTATTTTACGAGACGGTTGCTCACTTGAGCGGTTAAATATCCTTAAGGAATCGTCGAATTACTAATTGACTCGTTTATGAGTTTATATTCCCCCCTAATAAGATTGCGGACCGAAGTCCTTACAAAATAGAGAGTCTAATTACAGTAAATACAATTATAAATTATATTATAAATTATATTATTATTATAAATTATAAATTATAAATTTTAATAATGTGCAACTCAGTGTGTAGCGAGCTCGGAGCAGGATGATTATAAATGTTATGTGAGATCCAAGTAACAGCCGCTAATTGAATGAAATTTAAGACATTTTTCAACTAAAAAATATTAGAGAACAGGTTGAGCCAGAAGGCCAGAATTGTGAAATGTTCCTTGAAAATAGACCAACGAATATGGTCGAATATGGTCGAGAGCTGGACATACACATAGAAAATGAATAATGTAATTTGGTTCACCAGAGCAGCACTTTTCACAAAACTCCTGTGGATTGAATGACACACACGTGTGGCAAGATTTTAATCTGGACTGAATTTACTATATAGTCTTAATCTCGATATCATACACTGAGAAAAAATTCTCTCAAAATTTAGTGTACCTTTTCACCAACACTGGGACGTAACATGGGGTGTACAAGGAAATAGAGGGAGACACTGGACAAAATGGTATGCCTCACTCAAAAATTCGTATGTGGCACCCTAATTTTTGAGAGGCATGCACTACTTTTTCATGCGTTTCCTCCAGTTTCTCATGTGACCTTTCCGAAAAAATGAGTCAGCAGCATTTCAATTTCTCATTGATGGAGTACATTGATTTTTAGGGAAGGTTCTTACTAATTTTCAATGGAATTTTTTCTCCGTGTACGTTTACAATCCAGCGGTAGATGTGCTAACAAATAGGGCTGGGAGCCTGGAGCCAAGGAGGAATGATTATAAAATAATAAAATAGTGCTAGTACCGTATCTCGTACGGTCTTCATCACGTGTGATTGTAAGATATTTTTCTAGAAACTGAGATTTAACATCATTTAGCAGCGAAGATGACAGGTTATACCATACGTCTAGGAAATTACATTGTATGATAAAGTTCTTGAGTTGGAATGCCCAATTATATTTTTTGCTTCTATTTTTTTCAAAGTTCTCAGGTGATTGAAACGTATTTTCCGGTAGCGGGATTCATTCATTTCTAACAATTTTGAAAGCCTCTTTAAGACGTTTTTCTGGACAGTGAACGCTAAAGGAGCTTTGCCTATCTCTAGTCTAATTGTGTACCCCGCAGTAGACTGGGGGAGATCGAGAACCCTCTTAAAAAAATGAGTTGGGATTTTTCTACACATACTAACTGATTAACCTCTCAACCATAAGTGACGATGCTGCGGACGAGGCTGTTGTACAGTGTGTCAATCGTATTCGTCAGCTCCTGTTTTAAACAAAATATTCAGAGCAGCAGATGCTGCGGCTGTAGAGGAGCCGACCCTGTCCTTGGCAGCTAGGTCAAAAGTACCTGCGCTGCAAAACTTAATACCCAAAAAACGATAATTGTTGACTATTTTAATAGGCTCCCCATCAAATTTGAAGGAAAGGTTAGCTCTTTTGCCAGCCTTATGAAATATCAAGATTTTCGATTTGGAGACAGTTACGACAAGTGAGTTTTCTGTAAAATAATCATTGATGTGCCTGAGCACACGGTACAGCTGCGCAGGGCTGTCCGCCAAAAGAACGATGTCATCCGCATAGGCTAATAACATGAATTCGTTCTTATGTCCCGATACTCCCCTGCACCCTCTTACTATAAGAAAATTCTACAAATCTGAAAGGAAAAGCGCGAAAAATATCGGGCTCTCAATTCCTTCCTGAAGTACCCCCTGAGAAATGTCGGAATAGTTTCCGTCTACCGAACGAATTGCGGTTTTCGCCTTCTTATACAGGATTTTATAAATATTAATGAATTTGGTAGAGACATCTAGCTTGGACAGTTTCAACCAGAACTTAGAGTGATCTACACAATCAAATGCGCCGGTAAAGTTTGTGATGAAATTCCAGGCGGATTCGTCACCTGTATCCCTGCAGGGTGACTACCTAGGATAAGCGAGAGAGAGAACCGCGAAAAAGTAATTAAGTTCGATCAGCTATCTAGCGATCCACCAAGGATGAGCTACCTAAATAACCCCGGGGAATATTACCAGGGTACACCCCAATAAACTAGCTACCTGCTACCTAATCTCCCCCTCCGAAATAGCTACCTGTTACCAGAGATAACAGGG